TTTTTTTTTTTTTCGTTCCCCTCCCCCATGGGTTTCTGTTAAGTTTCTCAGGATCCACATATTTACTCTTATTTTTCATTGATAAGTATCTTAACACGGAAGCGTGGAAATCTGAAACACACAATGAATACTCACTCCTCCTTAGAATCCTCAAATATAGTAAAGCTGTTTTTTGGTAGTAAAAAGGTGGAGAAAGAATTCCTATAATCAAACTCAAGGAAAGACTAACTGTTTTTGTCACTCATCACAAGCAAACGCTGGAGGGAGAGCCTCATTTTAGTAATAATGCTTCCACGGCAATGTCAACGATTTCCTTAACACTCCTGCTTTTCAAAGTCTGCCAAACTCTATATTCCATGCTTCCCCAAATCCTGTGCAAGATTAAGAGTTCTCTCTTGAGAGACTGTGCACTCCAATTTCACATAATCTAGAAAATCTGACAAGTAACGTGGTTTATCCACTGAAATGCAAATTAAATGCATGCATCTAAAGTCACTTGAACCAAATATTGCCATCAGAAATATTTCTCTTTGGTTGCCAGAAAACTCACCTTTCATGAAGGAGGCTAAGGCTACTTTGTCCATGATCTGCTGGGTTACGTTGGTGACCGGTGTGAATGCAATAGCAAATGTAGTATCATTGAATGAATCTACCGGTCCCAGGTCCATGGCGGGCAGTGAAGAAAAATCATGAGCTTCATGATAAATAGGATATTCATACAAAAAAAGCAGTAGGAGCAATGAGCTTAGCCATTCCTACACAATCCAAGACAAAGAATAAAGAAAATTATGAGTTTGAATCAGTTATCCACAATCATTTGGGCATACAGTTTGTTTCATTCATCTTTCTGATCTCAATGTATGCCACATTAGGAACTGTTTAAAATATGTACCTTACAAATGTCAGCAGTCTAATTCCAATGAGTTATTCGTAGGAATTCAAATGTATTGATCCACAGCATCAGTCTAAAGCATGCGCTGATCATGGACGTATGAGACACAACAGTGGCGACCTATCATAAATTATTACCAGTGGGCAGGAACTACTCACACTGTATCTGATTCTGCTCAAAGCCTAGCATTACATGAGACAGTTCGAGGACACCTCTTCCTTAGCAATAATACATTGGCTACAAGGCAGGAGTCTGGTATTGGAAAACTCCATATGATTCAGGCAACCGGAGAAGCTATAACTACCTGATTTTAAAAAGACCCTGGAGTTTAACCAGGATTTTTGTTGTATGGTAGAATTATAGGGGCTAATACTAATTTTGTTCTTGGCACTAATGGCATTTCCGAGTTTTCCACTTGTTTGAAGAGAATAATGTATTTTTAAAAAGAGAAAGAGATTCAAAACCGAAAATACCCGCCAGCTACTTCCGGGGGTTGATTTACCGTGCCTTCAGAATCTCAGCATCTGGACCTGATGACTCATGAGTAGGAACACTAGCAAAAATGTGACCATTGACTTAAAAATTTTTTTTAATTTTTTTTTTTTTTTTTAAGAGAGACGGCATGAGCAGGGGGAAGGGCGGAGAAAGAGGGAGACACAGAATCCGAAGCAGGCTCCAGGCTCCGAGCTGTCTGCACAGAGCCCGACGCGGGGCTCGAACCCACAGACCGCGAGATCATGACCGGAGCCGAAGTCGGCTGCTCAACCGACTGAGCCACCCAGGCGCCCTGTGACCATTGACTTTTAAAACATTTATTGGATTTTGGGGGCGCCTGGGTGGCGCAGTCAGTTGGGCGTCCGACTTCAGCCAGGTCACGATCTCGCGGTCCGTGAGTTCGAGCCCCGCATCGGGCTCTGGGCTGATGGCTCGGAGCCTGGAGCCTGTTTCCGATTCCGTGTCTCCCTCTCTCTCTGCCCCTCCCCCGTTCATGCTCTGTCTCTCTCTGTCCCAAAAATAAATAAAAAAAAAGTTGAAAAAAAAAATTTAAAACGTTTATTGGATTTTGTATTGTTGGCCAGCTTCAGTGCTTTAAGACCTCAATTTAGGGTCTATGTCAAGTGAAATGTCTGCAGACAGATTGCAGTTTGAGGAACAGCTTCTTCTGCAACAGAAAGGTTGTTGTGTTTTGTTTTTGGAAGGGGAGATAAAGTATAGCTATTTCCCAAAGAATATACATTTTCGTCCTGTAAATACAAAGGGATAGGCATACCATTAAGGGCTCTCTCTTCATTCTCCATTTTTTAAGAAGGTTCTTGCATAATAATGCGCATGTTTGTTGACACACACTTATCTCCCTCTTAATCATTTTGCCCTGTTTAATAAGAAAGACAAGACAATCATGTAAATGCAATGGCCTTAATGAGAAGAAATCTCCCGACAAACAAACAATCAAAACAGAGCAGGCTGATCGTTGCAGCGCTAGGAATTGAGAGTTCCAAAGTTGGCTTTTCATAACCTGCCGCCCTGGATTTCTTTGCCTCCCACGTCCAAACTCTTTACTCCCTCATTTGTTCATCATGCATTGTGTCCATCATCATTTTCTTGCCTCTCAGCTCAAAAGTCATCCTTTGCAGCCCACTCTGTGAAAGTGGATGTGGGCCCTAGACATATTTTCCTTTGCCAGCCGCCATGATGTAAAACTGTCAAGAGAAAGGACTGAAGAGGCATTTCGGGAAGAAGAGACTCTTCTTTTTGGTGTCAGAGGGGTTCATTTTCCTGGTTCTTACAGAATGTATTCCCCCCCCCACTGCTCAGAGGAAATGATTTCCTCCAGCACAAAGCATCTGGATGGTACAGGTTTCACTGTGTGTTTCCAACAGCTATTGACCACAGAGCAGTATTGCATCTGGGAGCCTGAGACAGCTGGAGCCTTTCCCCCAGACTTTTGTTTCCTTCTGCTCTCTACTGCAAAGACAGAGCACTCCAGTCCTTGTGCCCATAGCTTGACATTCAGGCTTCCCTGTCATCCCGTGGGCTGCAACAACATCCATCCAAACACACCTTATTTGACACAACATGACCCTTGCATGGAGTTAGCAATGGCCATCTACCATCAAGAATGCGGTGGGAAACCTCTCTGCCCCCATTCTTAAGCAAAGGTGAGTTATTGCTGAGGTTTGCTTGGGAATCCAGCACTGATACAAAGCAGAGACAGGCTATCATCCAAGGAGGAGAGAGGATGCTTTCACATATCCAAGACCTCCCAACAGATACAAGGATAGATCATACAACAGGCAACAAACCAAGTCTCAACAAACTGAAATTATTCTAAGTTTCTTTTCCGACCATGAGAATAGGAAACTAGAAATGAGTAACAAAAGAAAAGCTGGAAGGACTTCGAATCAGTGATCGAAAACCTTCCAACAGGGGTGCCTTCGTGGCTCCGTTGGTTAAGCATCTAACTCTTAATTTTGGCTCAGGTCATGATCCCACGATTGTGGGATCAAGCCCCACAGTGGGCTCTGCACTGAGCATGGGGCCTGCTTGAGATTCTCTCTCTCTCTCTCTCTCTCTCTCTCTCTCTCTCTCTCTGCCCCTCACTCGCTCATGTGCACACACTCTCCCTCTCTCCCTCAAATAAAAAAATAAAAAATTAAAATTAAACAACCTCCCAAAAAAGAAAAGTCCAGGACCACACAGCTTCACTGAATTC